CCCTTTTTCAATAATCTGTGGCGGGATTTACATAATCGTTCATAAACTGTCATATTTGGGTTTGGAACACAGCTTCATCTAGATCCATCTTAATCTACCTGTAATATTCCAGATCTGCGTCCAGGTAATCATTATTATCAGGTTATATTCTGGAATATTCCACAATATTAAGTGATAACCTTATGTCACTTGGGTATTTTTCTTCACAGCACCCAGAGAAGGACCGCCGGAACGTCGCCAAAGGAGTCAAACCTCTCAACTATGGACCGTTTAGTTCATATGCGCCTTCATACGACGGAACCTTCGCCACGCTCACTAAAGAGGAATCCCATCTTCTGTATCACACGTTGCGTGAGTATCTTCTTATATGTTGAAATGTAATTGTTACTCACCAGAAGGATGTCAAAAATATGGCAACAAAACACTTTCGTCACTGTGACAGAAAGACGATAAGACATAGAGATTATAGGCATAGAGTGAACAAGAGTCTCAATCTTGCAATATAGGCAACGAGAGAGAGATGGATAGTAGATAGTTCTCTCTATCTCTTTCTAGTCGAGCTCTGTGGTTGGTTTGGGAAATTTATGATCTACTCTACTTCAAGATAGCCAATCGCAGCTTAGTTTCACAGAGACAGAAGGAACTATCAGGTATCAGTCTCTCTCGTTGAATATATAGCTTCCTCTTACAGGCAGCTATAAGTGATAAGAGGATGCGACAGATGGAGCCAAAGGGGTGACCCAGTCGTATCCCAGAGAAGGCAAGAGTAAGAGAGGTAGCCGCAAAAAAGATGGGACGACGACATTAGACAAGTGGCCGGAGTCATGTGGAACAGGGCGACACAGAAAAGGAAAGAATGGAAAAGGCTGGAGGAGGTCTTTGCCGATTGGCAAACAGATTTAGGAAAGATAACCAAGCAACAGATATTAGCTTAAGTAGTTTATTTAGTTTAAGAGTCCTGTGTTATTATATTAGAAGTTTAATCCATTGTAACTAGTTAAGAGATCTGAATAAAAGGCTATATTATTACAGGCAGCTAGAACAAGTGTTCTCTCTATGCTTATATATCTATGGGAAAAGATTCTATTTAGATATTTGCTCTATCCCTGTCTAGTCCGTGTAGTGACGGATTAAGAATACGGAATGTCACTACCCCCAATTCATCCCGTGGGTGTCGTAAGAGCCGACTAAGGGCGCAAAACAACGCAGGACACCAGCACTGCAAAAAGATGGAAAACTTGACACAAACCCTATACCAACCCCGCCTGGCCAGCGTGGTATAGTAGGCCAAAACCTTCTTTCTAAGGAGAGGCCTATGTCCAGCAGTGGACTATTAAAGGCTGTTGATGTGATGTGTGATGATCCCTGTCTCACGGGTTTCTCCCTCTTACAATGTAGTTGGTTTAGAATACTGAAGAAGAAATGCTTACGCGACCTTTTTAGTTTTTAATAGCCAATAAAAGAAGGCGTGTTCTTCCATAATAACACCTAGATACAGGCACATAGCTCCCCGAATAGTTAATAGGGCTAATAGATTCTGGAGTGGAGACCAGACAGTGCAGTTGGAAATCATAGAAGAAGGTCATGTCTAGCAGTGGATTTCCTTTCATCAGCTATAGTTCTTCGATCATGAACGACTGTAGCTGCCCAAAGGATTGAAATCCAATCATGGAGAATGTGAATTCTTAACGAAATATTGCCACAGAATTATTGTTATACAAACAAGTTGCCATGGTGTTTGACATTTTTAATGCAAAAGTTCAGTTTAAGTATACACAGATGGAGTGACGATCTTGCGCAAGATGGCTGGCAGGAGCTGGATGCGAGAAGCCCAAAATCGATATAAGTGGCGTGCAATGGGAGAGGCCTATGTCCAACGGTGGACTGCGATAGGCTGTTGACGATGATACTTTTTTTTTTTTTTTCAACATTTACACGACGCCATCTAGTCCCAAACTAAGCAGAAGCTTGTACTATGGGTACTAGACAACTGATATAAATACATATATACTTTTTGTTTTTGTAAATACATACATATTATACATAGAAACAGCCAGAACCAAATCAAACATTAAATGTTCATGCACACAAAAGTTTGACTTGAGCGGGAATCGAACCCGCGACCTATGGAGTAGCAGTCTGTTACACAAACCACTACGCCATCTGGCCGTCGTTGTATACAATAAACATTAGAAAATGTTAATACATTTATATAACTGCATGTTTTTTTATATTTAAGCTGTGTTATAGTGATGATTATTATTATTATTATACCAACCAACTATACCACGCTGGCCAGACGCCAGCGTGGTATAGTAGGCCAAAACCTCCTTTCTAAGGAGAGGCCTATGTCCAGCAGTAGACTAGTAAAGGCTGTTGATGATGATGAGGATAGTGATTGTCATTAGGTGTATTTTTGTTGTTCAGCTGCTGAAACAGGGCAAGGTAACGAGGAGATGCTCCGCTTCGCCCCCGACTCCCCCTGGGCGCTGATCTACGACATGGAAACTCTCTTCCCTGACAAGAAACAACAGCAGGAACAAACACCGGCCAAGGAAGACAACGTGAGTTATCACAGTATACATAAATGCCTGATGCCTGAAATCCGACTGCACGGATGGCGTAGTGGTTTAAGCGGTCGCCACGCCGCTTCCTACTACGCCGAGTGTTGTGGGTTCAAACCCCACATGGGACGACACTTTGTGTGATCCACAAATGATTGTTCTGAGTCTGGGTGTTCTTTGTGTCCGTTTCATGTATGTTTGTAAAGTCCCCCGCGACACAGGATTTATTCCTAATGCGGGAGTTGTCTTTTTAAGAAAAAAAAAAATACCACTTAGCAAAATCAAAAATATCGACTTTCATTGGTACAAAATATGCGTGGTAACCATTTGCATTATTCCTACCCGTTAAACGCCGGGATGACTGAGGGATTCAAAGGATGGTAATGTCTTATGAGTAGCAGGTGTCCAGGGCCTCAATTCTGCTATTTTAATATCAAATCAATAGACTGTCGATGGAATGTCATCAGAATAGTTTTACACTTTATCTACTAACTATGTAAGACCAATGGCCTCCCGATGACTTGTCACTGATACAAATGTCGTCGATGTCTTTGTAATAGTTTGGTACATTTTAATTTTTGTAAGAAAAGGATATATTTAATTTTCCCGTTATGGCAATGTTGTTGATATCACCATTAATGACCTATATTACCATATCGACAGTCTGTTGACACTGAATTTATGTTAGTAGAATACTGATATTTTGACCGATGTCAATGGCGTCACAATGGCATCTCAATAGCGTGTCAATGGAATGGACAGTGGCTTGGCGTTAACATAAATAGCAGAATTGAGGCCCTGGTAATATACCATAACTATTCTAGTGCACATAAAAATGTTTAAAGAGTATTTCAAATTGAAAATACTCTCGGCACACATTGGGCCGGCTCCACCGGAGTGATACTCTCCTCCCAACTCTGGGGAAAGGGATTCAAAGGATAGTAATGTCTTATGAGTAGCAGGTGTCCAGGGCCTCAATTCTGGCTATATTAATATTGTATCAATAGACTGTCGTTCGGAATAGTTTTACACTTTACGCATTCTACTAACTATGTAAGACCAATAGCCCTCGATGACTTTTTCACTGAACTGCCACTGATACAAATGTCGTTCGATGTCTTTCTAATAGTTTGGAAAACGGTTAATCTTGAATTGGTAAGGAAATTATATATTTAATTTTCCATGTTTATGTTGTTGATATTCATCCATCTCTATCTCTATTACAAAAGACAACTCCCGCATTAGGAATATATCCTGTGTCGCGGGGGACTTTACAAACATACATGAAACGGACACAAAGAACACCCAGACTCAGAACAACAATTTGTGGATCACACAAAGTGTCGTCCCATGTGGGGTTTGAACCCACAACACCGGCGTAGTAGGAAGCGGCGTGTGCGACCGCTTAAACCACTACGCATCCGTGCAGTCATACATTGACAGTCTCTTGACACTGAGAATTTATGTTAGTAGAATACCGATGTTTGACCGAAGTCAATGGCATCTCAATAGCGTGTCAATGCAATACAGTGACTTGTACGCTAACGTAAAATAGCAGAATTGACGCCCTGGGCACTACTATTAGGTGATTTCGTCGTTCGTTTGCCCCAGTGTGAATAGAAAATAATAAAGTTGGTATTTGGACAGGATCTGGTCGAAGGTGAAGGTGGATATTGATCAGCTACGCAGTCTATCGGAGCTGGGTATCGACGTGGAATATCTGAACGAGATTGGAGGAGGACATCGCGGCCTCGCAGCACGACTACGGCATCGGGCCCGCGCTCAAGCACACGCACGAGCTGCTCTCCAAGCTGGAGAAGGACAGAGAGCCCGGGTGGCGACTGTACAAATTTTCCCCGAAAATTTCTATTATCTAGGGAAACACTGTAGTTGACTGTAAAGAAAAATTAGTTCTTTTTGACGTGACAACGTTTTATAATTCGATGGGGGCCGGCTGAAACGCACAAAAAAAAACATGACTCAGGGCGGCGCCCGGTTACCTCGCTCTGGGGCGTTCCTTTTTAAGGCGTGAAGTGCAAGCGGAGGGGGCGCGGAACGAGGACAAAGAGGCACAATCGGCCTCCGCGTTCAGCAGTTCGCTTTAGGGTCCCCTCCCCCTACAAAAAGGGTGAGCGATGCTTCCCCGTGGACGGGCTCCCAAATACTAAGTACTTTTACTTTTGTTTTCGCCCAAAGTTTTGGAAGTGAAAGTAAAAAAGTAAATTGGGTCTTAGGACGTTTTTTTCACGTTAAACTATCGTCAGAAAACCGACTTTACAGAAAACCCCGTTTTTTTTAATAAAATGGTAGTTTTTGGGAATGTACATTGAATGCGTGTTTTGGGTTTTTCCCTTATGTAAAAAAACATCGTGATGATGAAAAAAAATTTTTTGTTTTCTATCGAATTGAAATATTTCAAAACTATAGGGTCTTTCTTAAAGGGTTACCCGCTTAGAAATTTTGTTTATTTATCGAAGCTTCAAAATAAGCTAGGGGGTCCTTAATCTTGTTTATGATATCACACACACCGCTTTTTTTTCCCTTTTGTTTCGGGTCAAATTTTTAAAATGAAAGGGGGGGTAGTATAAATATTTCGAAATTGGTTTTTTAATATCTCTGAAGGGGGGGGTTTTAAATAAACTGTGTCATAGTTCCCAAAGTTTTAAATTTTTTATTTTATTTGAATTAGTTTTATTACAAATCAAATGTATACTATTTCAAAAATTTGTGGGGCATATTTTAAAAAAGAAAATTTAAACTGGGGGTTATGGGATACTAGGGGAAAAGGGGTGTTTTATATTTTAACACGAGCGATTTATCTCTTTCTCCTTGGTTTCAAAAGGGCTGGGTTTGGTAAATTTTTTTCCCAATGGGAAAAGTTTTGTATTTTTTTAAAAAAGTACGGGATTTGTAATGGCAGTTTTGGTTTTACCCAAATGAGCAATCGTTTAGGGTTTCCCGTCTTTAGGAGCATTAGAGACGACTGAAAAAAAAAAACGGGGATACAAATTTTAAAGAAATTTTCAAAATTTGCGGTTTTTTGGCACAGTCTCTTTAATGAATCCATTGAAAGTCGATTTTAAAGGATAGGGTCCATACGAAAAAAAACGTTTTAGGGCATCGATTTAATGGGGAACCCAGAGAAAGGTAGTGGGAATATAGAACGGGAACAAAATAGATCCCAGTTTTTTGATAAAAATAAAATTTGTCCCCAAAATTGACACAACCCCCTTTAGTCCCAAATTAAGCAGAGCTGTACATGGGTATGGACAAGTGATATAAATTTTATCAAATATGTATTTTAAAACGTTGGTGCAGGTTTGTCGCCCGCCGCCGCCGTGGCACCTGTCGCTGTGGGGCGCGCCCCCGGGGCGCGGCGGACGCGAGCGGGCGGGGCCTGGCGGCGCGGGGCCCTGGCGGCATGCTCGCGCGCGGGCCCCCCCGACACGTCGCGCCGTGCACGCCCTTTCCCGGCCCATGGGCGTCACCTCACCCCCCTGGGTTTAGCACCACCCCACACTAAATTTTTTGGTTTTTGCATGTTTCCCATTTTACTTTTTTTAAAGGTACCTATTTTTTATGCCTTTCCCTTTTCTTCCTCTCTTTATTTAATAAAAAAAATTAAAATTATTTAAAAATCATTTTTTTTGTGGGACAAAAGTCATAAATCGCACACACAAAAGAAAACAATCCGGGTTTTTGTCGAATAAAACCAAAATAAATTTAACAAAAACAAATCTATTTATGCCTGTGCCGATTACGACCCCCCTTTTCCCTTTTATGAAAAAAAAGACAAAAAAAAACCCTTTATTTTTTAAATAAAATGTTCGAAAGAAAGTAATATATTTTACACATACACATCAAAAGACTTAAATGGTTTTGAATAGGTAACAACCCCATCATATGAACTGCGGGCCAAAAACCCAATGTTAAAAGACACCCCGGGGCCACCAAAACTCTGACCTAATAAACCTATTAACATTTTTTGATAAAAAATTTTTTGAATGGGTAAATAAATTTTCGTTCTTTCTTTCTCACTTTTTCCGGTCCGCTACCTGACCGAGTATATACAGGCCTACCGCCCCCCCCCCCCCCCCCCCCCCCGACCTAACAAAGAAAATCAATTTCCTTCTCCATCCAGCCAAATTGGGCCCGAAAAAAAATCGCAAAAAGCAAAAAACAGCCAAAGCCCCAACTTTTTAAAAATAATAGTTTTTTTTTACTTTTTTAAAATGTTTTTTAGATTTTTAAAACTCATAAAAATTTTTAAAAAAAACCTGTTCTAAAAACACCCGACCGTTTGTTTACAGATTTCCCCCCCAGGCGGGTTTATGACTTTGGGGCTGGGGATTTAAAGAGCAACGAACGCGGTGGGCGGATCCCCCGGGCTCGCGGTTTGAGTCAGATAAATAACGATTAAAAAAGTTTTAAGTGTTTTTTTTTAAAAATTAATAATAAATCCCTTATTATATTTTTAAAAACAGTTTTTTTAAACCCCCATTAATCCGAGTGTAAATTTAAAGGGAAATTAAAATTTTAAAACTAAATTTTTTGTTATATGGGGAATTAACCTATACTAATAAATAAAATCTATATTTTTAAAAAAACCGGGAAACCCTTTTAATTTTACAAAAATGACCTCCCCAAAGTTTCACTTCGAGCTCAAAAAATTTTGGGTTATAGCGCCATCTTTTGTATATATATATATAGGTTTTGCGATTTTTGCCTTTAAACCCTTCCCAAAAAACTTTTTCACGTGACTAAAAAAGGGTGGCGCTATTTTTAAATTTGTCACTGAAATTTGAAAAAGCTTTTTAAAAAGTTAAAACTTTTTTATAATAAACATATGGCCATTAAAAAATTTTAAAAAAAAATTAGTTTTGAGTTATTTTAAAAAAAAAAACATTTAAAAATTTTAAAAATATCTGAAAAATTTTCCGTCTCAGAAAATCAAAAAAAGGTGGCGCGGTAGTCACCTTTCTCTTTCCCCTACAACCCTTTGACAAACTATAAACTGTTAAAAATATTTAATTTTCAATGAAATAAAAAAGCTTTTATTAAAAATTTTTAAACTGAATATGCGAGTTTGGTTTTGGTTTTAATTTGTACAAAACATTTACTGACGATTATTAAATTTTAAAATTCACGAAAATTTAAGTAGGTAAAACCTTTTAAAGTTTTCCCAAAAAAAGTTTTTTCTTTCCCCTTTTTGCAATCTACCCAATACACACAAAAAGTTTGTAAATTTTAAGGGCCCTGTCTTGAACTGGGATAAATTATGTTGATAAGCAAATTTATGGGAAAAAGCGGAATGGTTACGTATCGTGTGGCTTAAGCAAGAAAATTCCCCGGGGGAATTGGGAAAATTTTGTAATGACATTAATGGCACTTAATCGTTTTTTTTCTGGAAATTTTTACCCCAAAAAAGCTTTGTTAAAAAATTTACTTTATTTGTTTTATTTTTTTAACTTCGCAAATATGATCATGGTCGCTTTACGTTCCCAAACGAACTGGGGACCCATTCCCCTTGCGCCGCAAACATCGGGCTCTGACCTCTTTTAATTTTATTACTCCCTCTCCCCATTCCACCTTTTACCTTCCCCCCTTCCATTTCCCCCGTCGCTAAAAACATACTGAAATCTTTGCTCTGCAAATAATAAAAAAAATAACAAAAAAAATTTTTTTTATCTTATTTTTTATCGGGGCTAGGGTATGATCGCTTCCCCGTAACGGGTTGTTTTGAGTCCCGTCTCTTTCTTTCTTTGCTTTTTAAAAAACAACTTTCCCCCCTAGGAATTTATCCGGGGTCGCGGGGGGCTTTAAAACAATACATAAAAAGGCATAAAAAAACACGCGACTCAGAAAAACCCTTTTTTTTTCCACAAAAAAGTGTTGTCCCCTGTGGGGTTCCACTCGGACACACAGGGGCCCACTCGGCGTAGTAGGGAGGCGTGGCGACCGCCAAAAAACCACTACGCCATCCGTGGGAGTCATATTTTAAACATCAGAAATAAAAATAAAAGGTGGAGTACATATCGTCATATTCGGGAGAAAAGTGTCGGAGCTTTAAATGTATTGAAATTTTTAAAAACACCTTTTTAAAAATTTTTTTTATTTTTTTTCCCCTAAATTTTTAAAATTTTAAATCGTAAAAAATTTTGAAAATTGTCATACCAAATTTAAAAAAAAAAAGAGTTTTTTTTTTAAAGGCCCAAAAAAAATAAAAATTTTAAAAATTTTACAATTTTTTTAAAAAACACATTCTTTTTTCTTACTTTGAGGGACCTGTCCCAAAAAAAACACCCGAAAAATTTAACATCTAAAAATATATAATTTTTTTTTTGAAGGGATTAAAAATATTTTGACATTTTTTGTTTTCCCAAATTTTGGTTAAAAAAAATGCCCAATTTTGTATTTTTTTTTTAAAACCGCCCTTTCTACGATCATGACGAAAATTTTGTATGTATGTTTTAAAGAATTCAGTGTGACTTTGAAATGGGTTTTGAAGGTCCTGCATTCATTCACTACACAGCTATTCACTATTTTAGCGCAGTAGAAGCGGCCCAGAAAACCCCCTTAAAACCCAAAACGCGATTTTTTGCAAATTTAAACCCTTTTTTATAAAAACCTCATATAGACTTTTCCCAAATTGGGCAAACCCGTTTAAAATTCCTGCCTTGGGCCTCCCCCATTACTACGGGTACGGCCTCATCAAGTTTTTTTAAAATTTTAGTCTCGTTACCCCGAATTTGTGGCCCCCTTACCTAGGTCTAACCGTAATTTTTTCCCTTAAAAAAATTCATCTTCTTTTTTTTACCCCCTACCCAAAAAATATTTTAAATTTTTCCGGGGTTTGAGCTGACCCAAAAAAGGGGGGCGGACTATAAAAGAAAAACCCAAACTTTCCGTTTTCCAAAAAAATCACCTTTTTAAAAGCGCTGGCAAATCTTGGGCGAGTACTTAGGTACTATATAGAAGTAAAAACAAGAAAATTAATCCCATTCAGCCATTATTTTTTTAAGACAATCGAGTTTTTTGGGGTTTTCGAATGAGCTATCTATTCTAATCTGCACCCGTGGCCTTTCCCCCCCAATCCCCACGAGCACGTCCCAAATAGCCGGGGCGTGCGATCGGGGGTTCGGCGCCGTTCGCACGCGCCCCTACCCCCCACATACTTGGGGGGGAAAACCGGCGGGGATTGTAAACCCCTGGCACTAGGGAAAGGGGGGGGGTTTAAAATTTTTTGACAGTTATTATGTGTATTTTTAAAAAAATAATTTCAAATAAATCAGTGTTTGACGTTAGCTTTAAAACAAGGGCGGGCCCAAAGTCGGATGTCCGGGTTGTGGAAAATGCATCTTGATGTGGGGCTTCAGTGGTTTTTTAAATCACCCCTGTTACAAGGGGGTTCCCCAGGTCAAAAATTTTGGGGGCCCATTCTTTTTTAGTATTTTCTGGCCCCATATAACAAAATGTTTGATTAATTCAAAGATATCATATATTTGGGTTATGACTTCAAATTTTTTATTTCGTTTTAAAAATTAAGTGATTTCGTAAAGCTATATCTGGGCTTAAAAAGATGAAACTGAAAAAAAGGGGGGGAAAAAAAACCCCTGCAGTGGGGGGGGAAAAAAATTCCCTTGGTTCCAATCCAAATAAGACAAAATACCTGGGTATTCGGCCTAAAAAAAAATCTAAACTCCTTCCCCGTTTTAAAAATAACCCTTATGGGAAAAATTAAAAAAGAGGGTTTAATGAGGCCCGTAAACTTGGGCCCGCCCATTTGATTGTATTTTGGTTTTGAAAAACAAGGGGTTTCTGAATTAGTTCGAAACTGTTTCTTATAGGTTTGGGGCATTTTTTACAAGAATCCCACCGTTTTTGTCCGAGAGCCCGCGAAGGGCTGGGTTTAGTCGCGGTTTTTTTCAAAATTAAATACGCCGAACGGTTATGGGCCACGGCTTTTAGCTCGCACGGATAGGTTGATTCAGAGGCTCCAAAAAGCTTGCCCCCCGTTTTTTTTTTCAGGATACCCCCCAAGAACTCACATCACTCCTTTTCCCGAAAAAACAACCTTTTGTCCTAAAAAGGAAATTAGGCGCAAGCTTCACGTAGCATCACTAAAGTTTGGCATTGTTACACACCCCCCGGAAAAAAAACCCAACCC